TGTGATGGGCTGCCAGAGACTGGGATTGTAGTTATATCCCACCAGAACTCGCTCGGTTTGTTTGTGCTTCTGAAGTCTATGGGGCTTCAGAGCTTTATGACAGTCTCCTCACGAGACCTTTGCCAGTTTTCTTTGAATTTGAATGCTGAAGAATTGTCTGTATGGATGTAAGAAGTCTTGCTTTTTTCTTACAAGAAAGGTAGCGGGGAAGCCAAATTGTTTTGGCTTAAATTCTAGTCCTTTGTGTCATGTAGACACTCAAATACAGGACTTAGCTGGCTGTTTCTAAATCCCCAAAGTGCCTCTGATTCAAATTTCCTTAGTATAAAACCACGCTGCAAGATGATGTAAAGAGCTAAAACTGTTTTAAAACTCAGGCCTGACCTTGTTGTAACTGCTGCCTTGTCCTTTTACAGGTTCATGAGTCTTTCCACAAACACCTGAAGCCGATGCAAGCCAAGCTGTGAAGCCTCCTGGGTTTTTTTTTAAAAATGCACACTTTTCCTGACCTGAAAACTGGGTGTTTGCATCCTTTCATCAGGCACCTAAATCAAACCTTTCAAATCCTGGTAGCTGTAGGACAGTGAATAATTGTAGCCTTTCTTTCCACTTTTGTAAATTGAGGAGGTGTTTTGAGGAGAGTGCGTAGGGATTGATGCCTGTTTTTTAAAGTGCAATTATAATGGTAAAATTAACCTTTTAAAAATCTGGGAAAGCTTTATGGATTCATACAAGGATTGCTTTTGTGAAGCTGCTAACTAGAGAGAAGTTATTGTCAACTGGAAAGGTAGCAGGATTTTACTACTAAGTAGTTAACAGCCCTCAGGCAATAGATTCTAATGAGCAGTTAAGTCCTCCCTTCAAATAGCATCAATGTCTTGATTTATTATTATTATTCATTTTAAGATTAGCACCACCTCTCTCCTTGTTTGGCAAATATTTATGCTGTCTAAAGCCTCCTGCATGGTTTTGTGCAGATGAATCTGTGTGTGGCACTACTCTCCTGATGTAGCTGGGAAGTAAATACCCATCTTCCTCTGGAGCTCTGCTTCATCCATCGTTCCAGAAGATGTCTTCATGTTTTCCAGTACATCCTTCTTTCACTGCCCTGCAGAAACACCTTCTGCCCATGTGCCAGCTCCAACACTGGCACCTTACTCTTTGTTAATACAAAATCAAAGAAGAATATAGTGATGCTGCTCTGAGGGGGGGAAAAAAAACAAACCAAGTAGTAATAATCAGCTCGGTGCTGATAATAGATGTTCTGCCCTTCTTTTAACTCTTAGTATTTTCGTAGCACTATCTCGAAGCACTTTACAAATGTTAATTATGGTGATTTGATGTGAAAAACCACCTGTAGTGGTAGAAACTGCAAATTTGACCTGGAATGATGAAGCCAGTATTTGAGGGCAGAAGTCAGTTGACCAAGGTCCTTGAGTCTCCGGGTTGTTCTGGGATGTTCTTCTGGTTTTTAAAGGCATTCTTCAAGAAAATGACAATCCCAGGTGAAGTGTCCGGATTTATTATTTTTTTTTCCCTACCCATGCATTTCCAAGGAGCTTTCTCTGATTTGCTTAATTTTGTTTTTATATTGACTTGGGACTCGCACAGTGCTGGCTGGATTTAACAGGTGAAAGATTTAGCTTTTAACAGAACCTCCTGATGCCCAGTGAAATCAGTGCAGCTACAGCTAAGCAAAAACATTGCTGTTTTTCAACACCAATAACTGCCCAATAACAATAAAACCTCTCTTCACAAAAGAGAAGAGCAACTTTGAGCTTAAAACAGTAAAAAGCTTCAGTGTAAACCCAAATCCTGCAGTTCTGAGGCAACATCTGAGAAACTGGTTCTCTGACAGCTTTGGTATCTGTTAGTCTCTAATTTTGGATCAGTTTTCGTGGATGAGTTTTTTCTGGCACTAACAATGATCAGGCACAATGTTTGGCTCCACATGCAGTAGCTGAACAGAAAGAAATGTTTAATTTTAAATAAAATAATCAAACTTGCCTTTTGGCTGCTGAGTCTTTCGGGTGGAGTGGAACCACCGCTGTTCAGGAAACCAAAGGAGGCAAAGGGCTCTGCCTTCCATTATTCAGTAGCGCGGACGGCTGATGTGGGGAGGGGTGATGGAGGAGCAGGTTAAAAATATGTTAATGAGAACAGTACTAGCTAATGATGTACAGATTTAATAAATTACCAAAATGTGTTTTCAGACAAAATGTCTTTCTTTCATGCATTGCTTTCAGTGGATCCCATTTAAGGTTTGGACTAGATGATCTGAAAGTCATCTGATAAGAAGTTCCTCCAAGAAGAGGAGGAATTTCTTTCCTTTGAGGGTGGCAGAGCCCTGGAAGAGGCTGCCCAGGGAGGTGGTGGAGTCTCCTTCTCTGGAGACATTTAACCCTGCCAGGACATGTTCCTGTGCAACCTGCTCTGGGTGGGACCTGCTTTGGCAGGGGGTTGGACTGGATGATCTCCAGAGGTCCCTTCCAACCCCATAGCATTCTGTGATTCTGTGAGGTAGAACAAAGTATTCAGAAGACCTTACATTAGTTGGATTTTATTTGTCTTGTTTCTAGTCTGACCTTTCTGGCTTTGCTCTGCAGCGTCCCAGGGCAACCAGCCCAGAGCAGCAGCTGCTCTTCCCGCTGCTCCCGCTCCCGACCGCAGGAAAAGCAGAACTGCCAGAGAGCGGAGCTGCCTGTGGCACATTTTTGTGATTATTGTGGCTGATTGCTGCCAACAGCAAACATTTAATGATAGTATTTGGCAGCAGAAGCTTTAATTCAGAGAAGCTGTTTCTTCAAAAATTGTTTCCACCTGTTTGTTGGTTTTTTTTTTTTTGGAGTAGATGGTGACGTAACGGCAAATGCTGTGCTTCCTTGCCATGGGTGAGGGTATTGCACATTTGTTCCTCTTGCTGCTGTTGGTGGTAACACCTGAACGCCACAACCTGGTACGATTTGTGTGTCTCACGGTCAGCAAACAGCGTTTAACCTCTGCCAAATGGCTCTGCGTCCTCCTTAGGACTCATCCATCTTTTGACAAAATGCCGTGGTATCATTTCCACAGGCGTTGAGCCTCTTCCATGTGAGTACAAGTGATTTTGGTGTCAAGCAATGACACTTGTAAGCTACGCCGTTCTTCTTGGAGTACTGACAGGCGTGGTCTGTGTCTCAAAAGGGCTGTGATTACTCTTTATCAATTAAACACCAAGACAGGGCTTTAAAGCCCAGTGGGGCTGATTATTTCTGCCAGAGCCACCCTGGTGTCTTTGAAGGTACATCTTCAAAGGGGTTGCTTGAGGGAGGTGATTCTGCCCCTCTGCTGTGCTCTGCTGAGACTCCCCCTGCACTGCTGCCTCCACCTCTGGAGCCCTTGGCCCAGGAAAGATAATGGACCTGTTGGAGCAGGTCCAGGGGAGGTTGTGGAGATGCTGAGAGATGGAGCCCCTCTGCTGTGAGAACGGGCTGAGAGAGTTCAAAGAATCTTCATGGTTGGAAGGGACCTTTGCGAACATCCATTAAAAAAAAAAAAAAAAAGCAAACAAAAAACCGCACACAACCCAAACCAACACGCACCCAATTGCCTCCTTGGGAGGACCAGAGACAAAACCCAATCTCGGGCACTAGAGCATGCCCTGAAGTGCCATGTCTACACATTTCTTAAATACCTCCAGGCATGGTGACTCTACCACCTACCTTGGCAGGCAGTTGGGGGGGTTCAGCCTGGAGAAGACTCTAGGAACACCTTAGAGCCCCTTCCAGTCCCTAAAGGGGCTCCAGGAGAGATGGGGAGAGACTCTTGATAAGGGAGTGGAGGGGTAAGATTGAGGGGGAACAATTTTAGACTGGAAGAGGGGAGATTTAGGTGATATCTCAGGAAGAAATTCTTTGCTGTGAGGGTGGTGAGAGCCTGGCCCAGGTTGCCCCGAGAAGCTGTGGCTGCCCCATCCCTGGAGGGGTTCAAGGCCAGGCTGGATGGGGCTTTGAGCAACCTGGTCTGGTGGGAGGTGTCCCTGGGCAGGGGGTGGCACTGGATGGTCTTTAAGGTGTCTTCCGACCCAAATCCTGGGGGTCCTCAGGCACCCACTGCTTCTCCCGAGGCCCGGCGGGGAAACAGGGCAATCCGGCCGCTGCTCTCAGCCCTCCTCCCGGGACGGGGGTGCAGGGTGTCCCGGGGGCGGGGGGTGCTGTAGTTCCCGGCCTCCTCCCGAGCCCGGC